GGACGAAAGGCGAATGTCCGGCGCTTTAACCGGATTCCAAACCAATGGTGCACATGGGCTCCACTATCCTGAGGGAACAAATGGCGTATGAACCAATTGTTGGTCACCGGCTTCCATGGGACTGCATCTCCTCACGATGCTCCACTGCTTTGTGGATCAGACCTTCAGATCGAAGGCTCGGGGAGTGGCCCCCTAAGGAAACCACCTGCTTCGGTTTGGGCACCCGGACAGTATCACAGCCCTCACACATACCGAATGAGGTTTTTGTGGCGGATATGTATTTGGTGCCTTGTACCAATATCTATGTGTTAAAATAAAATAAATAAATAACAACTGTCAACCAATATCAATGTCACAATCTTTAATATGAACGTCAAGACAGTCCTACTATACGGAGCTGAGACTTGGAGAACTACCACAGTCATCATCAAAAAGGTACATGTATTTATAAATAATTGTCTATATATGATACTCAATGTCCGTTGGCCGGATACTATCAACGATGACCTACTGTGGGAGAAGACAAACCAGCTTCCGGATGAAGAGGAAATCAGAAAAACACTGTGGAGGTGGATAGGACATACATTGAAGAAATCACCAAACTGCATCACGAGGCAAGCTCTAACTTGAAATCTTTGAGGCAAAGGGAACGAGATTGACCAAATAATACATAGGATCAGGAATCGGATATCGAAAAAATGAATAACATATGGGGATAGTTGGAAATGAGGCCTCATAGCGAAATGGGCTGAAGAATCCTGGTCAGCGGTCTATGCTCCACAAGGGGTAACAGGTGTAAGTAAATAAGTATGATATATAACTGATCGGTAGTTTACTGGTGAACGTAATCCCAACCATTGAGTACCAGGCTTGAATACCACTCCATGCTCCCACTATCTACATCTATTTTCGACAGTTATTACATATTGCCAAAAATCGTCACTTGAAAGCCAGATATATACATACAATCGTAAAGATGAACCATAAATGCGAGCTGGTGATAAACGTAAAAATCGTTTCACATTCACAGCGCCTACATCAAAACAAACATATCGTTTCCCAATGATGAAATAGACTAGGGAACTACACGTAGGGTTTTTATCACGAATTGATTTTAGCTATGCTACAAAAACGATTTGTAGCCATATGGATAAAGGAATTTTGGTCAAAAATCTAAGAAGCGCTTTTGTAAATCTGTCTACATCATAAGCCAATTCATATGTGTATTTTTCTGATAGGCTGAATGGATCAAGGATTTCTCAAAGTACAGAAGCTCACGTTTATTATTTCACTTTACCATCGTAGATTATACATTATGGCAGGTGAACAATCATTATACTTTTATGATATCAGACTCATCTTCAATTTGTAGGATGCGACTATCCATTGAGATTTTGTTTGTTAAATATTGACTATCTTGAGTAGTGGATGAAATTTTTTAAAGCTCTATTTATCACAACGTCTTAAGTAGAATAAGTGGACAGATTCACCATATTACTCTTTACTGTGAATCAATAAAATGGGCTTGGACGTCCATCGGATTTTTCAGTTGTTTGCCATTTGGTATTACATTTTGTAAACAGTTTTGTAAGAAACTCGTTATTATGGATAACTGCTTTCCGACTTTGAGTACTCTCATTACATTGTTATTGTGCAATAATGTAGAATGGTATCTCAAAACTCTACTTATAATTATGAATGTCATCAGTAACTTCGTTTATCAGTTATTCGGTATGGAATTTGGATACATAACCTGGTCATGATTTGACGATTTTAGTCAATGTACTTTATATATCTAGGGTCCAACCCGATACAATATAGGTAATTCTTCATTTACTCCTTCAATCTCTTTACGTATGTGTGTTCGTCAGCTAATGTGATCGACATATGCGTTACTAATACCCTATCACTTACCTTTATGTACAATGCGTAAGAATAGGTTTGAAGCAGGATGAAGATGGGTAAAACAAGACATGACTCCTCTAGTCTATGAAGTCACTGACTGTTAATCTGAACCGCCTGAAGGTATGTGTCAATAGGACTTTCCTGACAAGTGGCTGTATACACGTGATCTTATGAGAGCATTTAATGAAGTGAGCAGACCGTCTTCACCCTTGGCCACTAATCCAATATTAGTTGAATACAATTGTATGTTTTGTTTTGTTTTTCTATACTATTTCAGATGAACGATTCAATTTTGAGCAACGTTTTAATATTTCAGAATGGGACTCTGCCAAAGCTTATTTCTCAAGATGATAATCATAACACACACACACATGATGATGATGATGAGATTTGTACAAATTGAACATCATCTTAATGTTAACCGATGAGATTATAATTTATAGAGACAATCTTTGAATGACGCTTAACTGATCTTGAGAGAGAGAGAGAGAGAGAGTTTCCAGCTAGTAATCAGGATCAAATGAAGATTATGAATTAGATATAGAATTTACATGATGAACTGACATTAATTAAAATGTCAAAATGTAATTAGGTCAATTTACTGGTGCCCAATATCTAAGATCTGTGATCTTAAATCTGATTCATTCATTCATAAATGATCGTCTTAACTACTTGTACATTTCTTTCCTTCTCTCTTTACTTCCTTTTTTTCCTCCTTTCAATACTCAATCTTTCTCGTATATGAACAATATCAAGTTATGGTATTTGAAACTCTTCGAATCAAACTACAACAAAAACATCAGTTTTCTTCCATGAACTATTCAAAATATGGTATAGTTTTTGTCAATTTGTAGTAATGACATAATGGTGATGATGATGATGATGATGATCATCATCATCATTCGTTATTGAGCAAACATACATTTATCTTAATCGTTGAAATTACTACACTTTATACAAAACCTCTTCTGATATGAATTAACATATGCTCACTAGTGACTGGCTTCAAGAGGTATTTCTTGAAGTTCTAGTGAGAAACAGTGACCAACGGAGTTCAACCAGGTTTGTTGTGAGATAGTAACTTACTGAAGATAGTGGTGGATGTGTCGCCCAATTTTGTGGATTAGTTAAAGTTAGACATTAACACCGTTGGATGCCAGTTAGTTCAGTGGTCTAGTGGTTAAGCGCTCGTGCACGAGACTGATAGGTACTGGGTTCGTGAATGCGCACTGCTGAGGAGTCCCACAATAGGACGAAATGGCCGTTCAGTGCTTCCAAGTTTTCCATAGTGGTCTAGCTTCAATTGACTTATGATGTCAACCGTTGAAATTACTACAGTATCCACAAAACCTCGTCTGATATATTTATTAGTTACTTTTAAGGTTTTTCAGTACTCTTTAGTGAGAATGGATAAATGTCGGTCAGTCAGCAGTAACGTAGAACTTCGTACATACGTACATCAGTTCGAGTTACCATATCACATTAGCACAGAGATACAATTGTCGACTCAAATCCCGTAGTGGTAGAAGTAGTAAGAGTATAAGCAGTAATCAGAAAGATTATGGTTTGAAGATGTTATTCAAGGAGTATGATCCAATGAAATAAATGACTATCGTGAATATGACTCCCACCTGGCACCACGCTTTCCAACTAAACATATATATATATATGTCAGTATCCTTACTACTAACCCAACAACAGCTGACGAAACAATATAAAAATACCAAATAAGGAAGTTATTGAAAGTCCTACTCAATTCCTCCTTTCGAAGTGGGTGTTGTTTACGAAATTGAGAGGAGAAAAAGCAAATGTCCCGCGCATCAACCAGGTTGGTGGATATGAAGGATCCACCTAGAGGAGGTGGGAAACCCTGATTCCAAATCACGTGGGCTCCAGGATACTGAAGAAGCAAATGGTGGACGAACCTATTGTTCATCACCAAATACCATAGGACTGCATCTCCCGACGTTGCTCCACTGCCTTGTAGATTAGACTTCTAGGTTAAAGGCTTGAGGAGTGGTCCCCTAAGAAAACCACCTGTTTCGGTCTGGGTATCCGAGCAGTATCACAACCCACACACAAATCGGATGATAAAATATGGCGTATATGTATTCGGTGCCTTCTTGTATCAATATTCATGTGTTTAAATAAATAATTGGTTATTGGATATGTTTATGTTAATTGGATGTCAAAGGACAGTCAAAATCTAAATACATCACGAAAGGTAAAACAATAAGAAGAAGTGTAGAATATCTTGAAGTATGCAAACAAATACCGAGAATGTATAATTCTCCAACATTTAAAGACGTATTCAGGGATGTATGCAATGAAGCTACAAATAATAGCTTTTGAAATCGGTAGTAATTTTACTGACTAGAATAATTGATCTATCCAGAGATAGTAGTCAACAGAATATTGAGACAGCTCAGTAAAGAGAATCTTTCTTCCGACACTGTTACTTCTTAGTTTCTCATACATCCAGGCTATATATGTTAATCATTAGTAGTACATATATCCAAAGGATCTAACCCTAAACAAATGTAAGTATAAATCTAAATATTTAATTCATCCATTCGTGTGTATAATAACACTTACATACATCTTCCTACACATGATTTGTGAAAGTTCAATATTTGTTCACAAAGTAGAATAAAACAAATGTACTATAATCGTTATAGCAACCAATATACCTGTACACTAGAATAATACATTGTTTTAAGCAAAGATGGATAGTGGTTAGCAGTGAAATCCAGTTTGAAGCGAGTTTTGTCCTATTTCGGACTCGTCAGCTGGATGTGCCTGCATCTCAGAGTTGATGTTCACTCTAGGACTCGGACGCAGTACTGTTCGCTTCAAGCATCATCGCATTATCCACTTAGGACTCAGTATGCCTATAAGAGACTAATCAATTGCAGTGCTAAACATCAACAACAATACCAAGTGAATGATAGTGTAATGGAATATTGTGTTTTAATATAGACACTATTCAAATTCAGTTTTACTAGTTCAAAATGATAATTCAATCTCCATTTGCGATTTAGTACTTACATGTACTTTTCAGTGTAATTTGGATCTTGTAAAGCATAAAACCACAGTGATAGACTTTTTATTTATACGAGTTCAATTGTTGATGCTTTTAATACATTTGAGAAGAGATAGGTTTATGTAATCACTATCAGGTTCAATGATTTATAGAGTAGTATCCTATTTTGCAATATAAATCCTTTGTCAGTCAGTCAGTTAGTAACAACGTACAACTTCGTACGTACGTACATCAGTTCGAGTTGTCATACCACATTAGCACAACGATGCAGTTGTCGATTCAAATCCCATACTGATAGATGTGGTAAGAGTATAAGCAGTGGTCGGAAAGATTATGGTTTAAAGTTGTTATTCAAGGAGTATAATCTAGTGAAATAAATTTGGAAAGAGAAAAAAAGAAAGGGACATGAAGAATTCAAAAGATTAGAATTTGGGAGAACACAAAAGGTTGATGCACTTGCGCCATTGCAAACGATTTTGAGCCATGTTATTCAAGGTCTCTAACAATCGTTTGTTATCATCTCGCATTCCCCAACCAGGTAGTCTGCACCTACCAATATGGCTTAGTTTACTTGTCAATGTACTTATGGACTTGTGCCATGTTTTGGTCTGGCCGCCTCCAGCTTTCTCCCAACCTTTTCCTACATAACTGTTTTACTTATCGATTAAGCACCTATACATAACTGGTATTAAATCCCCCTGGTGATATTAAGGTACACTTATCGAAATGTGTATTGGATCTGAGACTAAATTGAATTGATTGGTTTAATTAATCACTGTTCCACTAACAAGAATAGCATGAATATTATCCAAACGATATGTATATCCTGGCAATTACAGATTTATTTCAATTTCTCTTCAGTTAATCAGTCAATCAAACGTAACGTTCAACCTGGTACGTATACACGTCCGTTCATAATGTTATATACTATCAGCACTAAGATATAAAATTGTTGGATAAAATCCTAGAATAGTGGAAGTAGTAGTATAGCAACTATAGTACAACCAATTTCGATTATGGCTAATTTTAGTTAAGACCTTTTATTAACTTACTTAACAGACAATGTCATTTGAATAGTAACAATTCACATATGTCTTTGTACCATTATGATCACTAGATCACATGATAAACTCCAGCTTAAGTGTTGAATGCTTAAATATCACTTCATGATTCATTCTCTTCCTTATGTATATATGATCTCAAACTCTATTATTAACCTTCGTCTTGCCTAGCTGCACCTTATTCGATTTAACTATAGATTTGCCTATGTAATTCCTCTCATATACTTATTCGCCTGTCCCCTCCAAATGGGCTCTATTTGCTTATAGCTTTGTGATCTGCGCTATCCGTTAATAAACTGCAGTTGCCACTTCTGATTTTAAACACTGTTGGGATATTTAATATAACGGTTATCGATTAACGAAGCAAAGGCACTACGGTAGTAGCAGTTTAAGTGGTAATATAGAAGATTAGGCATCGAATATATGATTCGAGAAAACACAAATCCGTAAATCAAAACCTAATTATGAGCAATTCAGAAACTTGCACCGGTGCAATTCCAAACAATTTTGACATATGTCATTCAAAGTCTCTAATCATTAGTTATGATGATTATACAGACCTCAACCAGGTAGTCTACACCTGTTAACATGGCTAAGTCCATGTGTTATTGACCTGAAGGATTGATTCTATGTTTCGGTTTGGCCACCTATATCATCCTTCCAACCAAACCCTACACTAGTCGACATCGCCCCCAATAAGGTAACAGGTGGTTGAGCATATGTAACAAATGTCCCAACCATCTCACCTAATGAAGATCTACCATCTCATTCCTAACTTAAGCATTGCTTACTCGATGGTTCTGGTTAAAATATCCGTAAACACTGGTTTCAAAAGATCACTTCAACACTGTACATATACTACTACTAATAAAGTGTAGAATAATCCCCTTAAAACATTATGCGGAAAAATGTAGACAGTTTTATTTCACAAATCACTAAGGTATAAGCTTTTGGAAAATAACAGCAACACTAGATCATTCTATTATTATAGTTCCGAACCAGAATATACAAAGTATTAAGAAATTAACCCTTTAAACCTTGATACGATATTCAAATGAATCATTCAATATGATCGCTGAAACAATCAGGATTTCTAGATAATGATCAATTCGCTAATGTAACTCACGAATTACATAAGCAGCTTTAAGCAACAGTCCTTTTTTTCTCGTTTGAAGACTAGTGATACTAACCAACTGTGTAAATTATTACAAATAAGGTGAAGTCCGAACCTATGATGTAATGTTTGAAATTCAGATGTTGTAACTTCTAAACTAACCCTCAGTTATTCACTGTATTTAGAAGTAACCAAGACAAATTGTTCGGTCACTATTTACTCAGATATAATTGTAAGTAACTTTTATATAGTCAATTTCCTTTATCCTTCTGTGGTAGTATATAACGGCAATATATAACTATTCACTATATGGTTCTCAGATATTATTAAGATGCTCAAATACATTCGATTATCCCCACTACTGTTCTTGTTCACTACACTTCAACTATTACTTTCTTGGTTAGCGTTTTGTTTTTTTAACGAGTTAGTTTTCTACGAGATGAGGTCGCTAACCCCCCCTCCCATATCCAACCCTCTCGATTTACCCAAGTTTGAAACCGGTACTAATTGTAGAAAAGCCACAGGAAGAATTCCTCAAGTATATATTTACATATGTGTTCAGTCAACTACAACGTAGGACCAGGCACATATATTCATCGGTCCAGGTTGCCATACCGCATTAGCACAGCAAGATGAACACCGGATTCGTAAAAGTAGTTAATTCAATAGTGATAATATATAAAAGATTGCATATAAGGACATAGTACAGGAAGAAAGAATTAGTTCGTCGAAAGAAAGATTTGAAGCGATTTTAATCTCATAGTTTACGGGAAGACAGTGAGTGTATACACCGACGCCATTGTGATTGATTCTGAGCGATGCCACCTAGAGCCTCCAACCATTGGTCACAAAAGTCACGCGGACCCCAACCAAGTAGTCTGCATCTACCAACATGGCTCACACCAGAACTTGGTGACTTCAAGCACTGATGCCACGTTTTGATTTGGCCTCCCCTAACTCTCTTCCAACCATTTCCAACACTAGTCAGCATTGCACGTCGTGGTAATCGGTGTTCGGGCATACGTAACACGTGACCCAACCATCTCAGTCGATGAAGATTCACAACCTCATCAACTGATTTACCACCATTCCCTAATACCCTGTGTCTAACCTCACCATTACTTACCCGGTGATCCCAGCAGATGCGAGAAATATTTCTAAGGCATCTGTGGTCAAATACTAGTAACTTACGAGTGTCTTCTACTGTCAATGGCTATGTTTCGCAGTCGTATATTAGAATACAACGAACTGCTTCACAGTATACTCGTCCCTTAATTGAAAGATGGATATCTCGCCTTAGCCATAGGTGACGTAAGTTGGCAATAGTCAAACGAGCTTTTCAAATCCATGCTGACATTTCGTCAGACACCAACCCACTAGGGCTGATCAGACTTCTAAGATAAGTGAAGTTGTCAACGGGTTCGACTACTTCACTTCCTATCCTTAGTTCAGATGTTGACTCAGACCACTCCTAAAGCAACAACTTGCATTTAGAGGAAGAGAAGCACATTCCAAACATTCTGGCATTGTTGCTTAATGCTACCAAAAGACTCTGCATATTATCAGCCTCTTCACCAAACATATGTGTTACTCTTCCTTTTCAGTTTACTCTCTTTTAAAACAAAACAAAACCATTCATTGTAAAAGATAGAATAAATTTATTAGGATAAGATAGTACAATATCATTTACATATACAAATAATTAAATATTATTTGTAAGGCTTTCAAAATTACGATTAATTTTAGGTCGTTTTTTCATTGATTTCAATGAATGATCATTGAATTTAGAATTATTTGAAGAGTTCTCATTGATTGTTGAATGAGAAGATGATAGTTTACTATGATGATCATTATCTTGATGTAAACTATTCGATGTTTTACATATGAACTGATGATGTTCTTTTGATGATAAAGTTTGAATAGAACAAGGAGGAGTAAATCGTTTTTTATCATAAGTAATAATTAAATGATCTAAATGATGATCTATATTTCGTTTAGGTTTAGTGATTTTATCATTTAAGTTCATTTTTTCTTTTGATAAATTACTCTTATTATTATTATCATCATCATCATCATCACCGTCATCGTCATCGTCATCACCGTCATCATCATCAATAGATGGATGGATAGTTGTAGATTCAATGAATTCATCAATCCATTCATTTCGATGACATTTTGGCATAAGATAATCATAATAAAGATTTACAATATGTTCTAATGTATTTACATTGGATACCTACTTTTTCAAATAAAGAAAAAAGGAATTAGTTAAATAGAGAAATTTGGAATTATTAATCAAACAAAGTACAATATTATTGATAAGTAATAAGGAATGGATATAACATACACCCATCTTCAACACCGGTTAGCATTGCACATCGTGGTAATCGGTGTTCACGCATACTCAACAGGTGACCCAACCATCTCAGTCGATGGAAATTCACAACCTCGTCAACTGATTTACCATTATTCCCTGATACCCCCGGGTTTTTTTCTTCCAAACTGAATGACGATCGAATAAAGTCCATGTTCTTACAATTCTAGGTTATATACCATGGAGAGTCGTCAAAATAAAAGACAGAGTAGCTTAAATAATTCATATCAAATAGTTAGAAGTTAAAATAATGAGTTTTAGTTTCATTATAATTTAGAAACATTTCAATCATAGTCATTTAGAACTTAGTTGAAGTTTCAGAAAACCATAGGGATTATATATGCATCAGTTCAAAAGCATCAATTATTTCATCTCTGAGACTATAATGTATAATGTAAGTACAGCCGAGAGTGAGGAGAGTCCACTCTCCCTCTCGAAATGCTCTCACATAGCCACGCATACACAGCCACTCCAAGGGAAGTCCTACTCATTGCCTTCTCGCACCACGGGTGTTGTTTACGAAATTGAGACGACGAAAAACAAATGTCCAGCGCTCTCACTGCGGTGGTGGATATGAGGGATTCACCTAAGGGAGTTAAAAAACCTTGATTTCAAACCAATGGTGCACATGGGCCCCAGTATCCTGAGGGAACAAATAACGTATGAACCAATCGTTGGTCACCTGCTACCATGAGACTGCATCTCCTAACGTTGCTCCACTGCCCTGTGGATCAGACCTTTCGGTCGAAGCCTCTGGGTGTGGTCCCCTAAGAATATCACCTAATTCGGTTTGGTCACCCGGGCACTATCACATCCCTCACACAAATCAAATGAGATTTGTGTGGCACATATGTATTTTGGTGCCCCTTGTACCAATATCTGTGTTCGAATAAATTATTTTACAAAGCTATAAACCAGTTATAGGTCCTAAATACCTAAATTCTTTGTGAGGACTTGAAGAAAGTGACAAATAATTACTAGAAGAGCATTATATAAACCAATGCAGTTTTATAAAGCTTTCAAGATTGTTACCAAGTAATCTGATAGTGATAATTGTCTTCTAGGAAATAACGCCTCGCAATTTATATAGAACTAAATTGTAGACTAATCAAAAACTTACCATTAACGTGTGAAACTGGGGACACTCAACGTGTAAAAGATAATGCTAAGAGATTAGGATCCCAATATTTTTGAAATGATTTTGAACATATTTGATTTTTCACACTTCTTAAATTTAAGACTTTAGTCTTAAAATGGGTTTCATTTAATACTTATTTTCATATCAGGAGACAAAATAGTTGGCTTTATTAATATTAATTCTTAGCGACCGTAAATTTGGGCATATGCGATAATAATCACAACTTAAACTGATGGGCAGCGATAGCAAAAGTTAGACAAGGAGTTGATCCGGCTCTAATTCATGAGCAGTGATGTTCGACTTTCAGCCACTAAGTTGAAGGTCCGAAACCCGCTCTATCTACACCAGTTTACAGGACAGGGTAACAACACCAGCCTTCACAATTAACGTGACTTGAAGAAAAGTAATCAGATTTGTATATGGTGGATTAGTTTTGAAAAAAATTCATGAGCTACCCATCCAAATACATGGGATTCATTTGCCTTTGACACTCTCTGTGATATAATGATAATAAGCACCAAGCTTTTAAGTACTTTGTCGCAGGTTTCAGTCGTCCTCTATATTAGGTTTATGCAACCTAATGGAAGCTTGAGTATTCTACGGAAATTTCGAACTAATAGTATATAAAGCCAGATTACACAGCAATTCACTCACTAGAGATTTGAAACCTCGACGTTCAAATATTTCTAGTAGTTGATCTATTGACATTTGCTCTGGATAATATAAATCAACAGTAACACCACATCTAGGCAAATATTCTGAAACCTTTGGCTTTGATTCATTCTTGTCTACTTTTTTCATCTGGTCTAAAATCTGGAAATCTAAAACTCGTTGAAATATATAAAATGTTAATGTTGACATTTTGTGAAAATATATGAGGTGAACATAATAAGATTAACATGGTTGATTTCATTGCATTCTACATAATCGTCACGAGCACTGACTTCTACTCCTCTGACTTAATCTAATGAGTTAGTAATGTAACCAACTAAAAGTATTTAGTTCCGAACATAACCTATAATTTTGGTGGTGAGCTGGTGATACTAGTCACAGTGATAAATCAGAGTCAGGGAAATAGAGATCAAATAGGCAACTCAGTGATTAAAATTTGATTAGTTTAACTACTAACACATTGCTCTATTTCATGATTCATAGAATACGAATAAGTGCCACGTTAAACATTGAAGGGTATAATCTGATGCGTTTTTTGTGTACTATAAAGAGTCTTGACATGAACGGTTGTAGCCACTAGCAGATTGAATGGGTGCTAGAATTGGCTTTGGTCGCTAAAGGTATTTTACCCATATTGAGGTGAAATGAGATGAGTCATCCCACATAGGACGTAATGAATCAAAGGTGGTGTTTAGTTATACAAAAGTACTTCTGAATATTATTGCTTAATGCAGTAGTATTCAAGAAGTTTGAAATTTTTTCTTGTTACTGAATTACACATTGTGAACCCAATGCATAATTTACGGTGATATTTTACCACAAATAAGAGTACGAATTTCATGGCTTACATATTTCGTTGATGTTAGCAAATATATAGAGCTACACCCACGCTATTTAATCTTGTAAGATATATCCCCGACGGAATTTGAACAGCAGACTGTCGTAATGGAAATTAATTTGAAATATAAATATGGACAGCGTGATCTTAACTGTTTTTTAGTAAGACAAATCTGGTATTACACTAAATACAACTCTTACGAACTATATTTAAGTTTAGTTGAAGAGGTTTATCCGTTGAGTTTAAGAAATCAATCTTTTATATAGTCTGTATAAGATCTGTTCAAGGTCCTTAATAGTACTACCCATAGATGATATATTTTAATTGGCTTCGACAGATGAGAGATCACACAATCCCCCAACTAAACAAGGGACTCATGAAAACTCAGATGTTCTTTTTCCATAACGTTTAAACTAGTAAGCCTTACAATATTTCATGATAGATTCCTAAACTTTATAGTAACATAATAATTTTTAAATTATGTAACGACTAAGCAAGGTAGCATGTAATGCTAAAAAACCAACAGGCAGACGTATGCAAAAGTCCACGTGGGTTGTATGCAGTTTGTTGAGATTATTTATTTATTTGAACACATAAATATTGGTACAAGAGAGCGCCAATATATATGCGCCACACAAAACAATGGGAATTCGAAGAGAAGTAGAAAGAAAAAAAAAGAAAAAAAAACTAAGAAACGCAAAAGAAAAAGAGAGTAATGACGAAGAGGTACAATCAGAAGAAATCTTTCAGGTAAGGGAGACACAACCACCTTTTATGAAGAAAGTAAAAGAAGGTTACAGCAGGATCGCCACTGGCTTCTATTCTAAGCCATATCTGATAACGTCTCTAGCCACTGTGTAGCACCATCTCTCGGACCCCAGCCAGGGAGTCGTGAAGGACCAACACAAGCCAGTCCTTTGCAGCTTTCTTTCATGCCACGACACCATGTCATGCACTGACCACCTCTCCGCTTCTTCCAACCAGTCCCAGAGTCGGCAAATAATGCACGACGTGGAATTCTCTGGGACGACATTCGGAGAACATGTCCAAGCCACCGAAGTCGGTGTTTCAAGATGGTGACACCAATTGAGTTATCATCTCTGTGCCCGAACACAAGATGCCGAACCTCTGCATTACTGACATGGTGTTGCCACTGAATGTCAGCAATCCTTCGGAGACAACGATGATCGAACACAGAGAGTCATCTAACGTCCTCAACTCGGAGAGGCCAGGTTTCACAAGCATAGAGCAAAACTGCTCTCACCGACGCGTTGTAAATCCGACATTTTACAGCCAGACTAACATCACGAAGGCGCCAAAGGTGGCCCAGATTGGCATAAGCCACTCTGGCTTTCACTATACGTGCATTGATCTCATCACTCATACCCCCACCAGCACTTATGCAGCTACCCAGATACACGAACTTCTCAACTACGTCTATCTGCTCACCGTCCAGGGTGAGTACAGGATTAGAATCCTGCCAGTCTTGTAGAAGTACTTTGCACTTCGAAGGTGCAAAGCACATAGCATACCTACGGACACTGATTGCCAACTGATTAAGTGCGGATTGCATGCCTTGGGCATTATCGCACAGTAAGACAATATCGTTCGCATACTCAAGGTCGAGAAGTCTTTCTCCAGGCAACAGATCCACACCACCATTACTTACATTCATCAGAGCTGTTTCCAGAATGTCATCGATGGCAAAGTTGAAGAGGAATGGTGAGATTGGGCAACCCTGCCTAACCCCACTGCTCGAATGGAACAATGGAGAGAGGTGGTTGTATGCCCTCACTCTGCCTGAGGTGTTTTTATATAAGGCTTTTAGGATGTTAATAAACTTCTCAGGCACACCCTTCTTCAATAGACAATCCCAGAGAACAGTCCTATCCAACGAATCGAAGGCAGCCCTGATGTCAAGAAACACTACGATTGTTGGCCTTTGAAAAGTATGGCGGTGTTCTAACATTTGGCGGAGGGTGAAGATATGATCAATACATCCTCGACCAGAACGAAACCCAGCCTGCTCCTCGCGAGTCAATCTTTCTCGGGTTTTGAACAACCTACGAAGAATGACGGAAGCCAATAGCTTGGACGCAATCGGAAGTAAACTTATCCCTCGATAGTTGTTACAAGAACGACGTGAACCCTTTTTAAAGATAGGGACAACTATCGACTCATTCCATGACGTTGGCACACTCTCTAGTTCCCAAACCTTTGTAAACAACGTCGTCAATTCCTTAGTCAAAAAGTCACCACCATCTTTAAAAAGAGCCGGAGGTAAGTCATCTGGGCCAGGTGATTTGTAACGCTTCAAGAGTTGGAGTTCCTTGCGGACTTCCTCCTCATTTGGTGGATCAGTCGTCACTGGCCATGGAGGGCAGGACAGTCTGATCGATGTTGCCGGAGCAGCAGGCCAGTTGAACTGCCCTTCGAAAAATTTTGCCCATCGTCCAAGACGTCGATGGATGTTAGTGATTGGCATCCCATCATCCTCGCAGATTGTTTCACTCACACCAGACTTCTTGCTGCCAGTGGCTCGGATGAGTTGGAAGAGCCTCCGGTAGTTACCAGATGCAGCTGCTGCTTCCAGCTCATTAGCACGCATCGACCACCAGGCTTCTCGGTCCTTACGCAAGCTTTGCCCGATTTCCTTACGTAACATCCTTCGTTTATGGTCAAACTCACGGTCACCCGGAGTAGACCGACGGGCTTCAATGAGTTGTAAGGAACCAGAAGAAACCCAGTGCTTAAAAGCGGGACGTTTCGCAAACCCACAACTGACTGTTCCCGCCATTTTCATGGCGTCATGCAATTGCAACCAATGCTCATCTATACTTTTCGGTGGAGTGGTAGCTAGCCTAGAGGCTAGCTCGGTTCGATACTTATTTGCAACAGAAGTTGCAACCAGCTTGCTAACATCAATCCTTTGCTGGCGGTCACTTCGTTGTTCACTGAAAAGTAAGGCAAGATTGGCTCAGACCAAGGCATGGTCAGAGTTCAGATAGGTACTCCAAAAGGAGCGGCAGTCTTTTACACAACCACGCCAGCGGTAGCTGATCGCGATGTGATCAATCTGAGTCCAGGCTTGGGATGCAGAGGGAGGACGCCAGGTGGCACATCGGCGATGACTGTGCCGAAAGTTAGTGCTAGCCAGAAACAGGTTGTGGTCTGTGCACAGTTGCAGTAGACGGTCCCCGTCATCTGTCCTGCGACTAACAAGTCCCTATCGGCCACCTAAACGACTCTCTTCTGTGCCTAGACGCCCGACCTGAGCATTCAAGTCTCCGGCTAGTACTACAATATCTGTCGAACGCACTTTCTGGCGAAGAACAGATAACTGGTGGTAAAACTCATCCTTGATTGCATCCGGGCTGCAATCTGTCGGGGCATAGGCGGAGATGACAAAAAGACATCGTTTCTCACGCCGATTTCTTCTCACTTTGATGGAACTTTCTAATCTAACAGCACATAACCGACTGTTAATGGGGATCCAATGGACTAGTGCTGCCTCAGCTCTAGCGCTTAGTGCGACACCAACGCCAGCAAGACCAGACGAAGATGCCACAGGGTCCCCGGATAAGCGCACGTAAAACAAGCTTTTTGAAGTGACAGATGTAGAGCGAATTTGTAGTACTTCACCAGAGTCTTGAATACGGGTCTCGGATAGACAACAAGCATCAATATTAAGACTTTCCAAAGACATAGCCAGCCCTATCTGTTGACCAACCTGCATAAGTGTGCGAACGTTGAAGGCAGCCAGTTTGAATGGCGCACGTGGTTTCAGAAAAACTGCTTCAGTACTCATATTCTATGGTAACATACAATTTTCAACCGGACAGTGACTCGAGAACGTTTAGATACAGTCGAATTTCCACCAAAGACGAGCCGCTGTATAAGTATAAAAGAGGGTGAATAATGTGGAAAGTAATAATAATAATAATAATAATAATAATAATAATAATAATAATAATAATAATAATAATGACAATAATAGTAATAATAATAGTATTAATAATGACAATAATAGTAATGATAATTATTTGAATCGACTGATTGTTTTTCGGAGCGAGAAAAGTGGTTGCCATAGACATAGAGTTCATCGTTTGTGTGTGGGCTGTGATACTGCCCGGGTGCCCAAACCGAAGCAGGTGGTTATCTTAGGGGATAAATAAAGTCAGTTATTGCATGGCGTCACACAATTTACCCCACCATCATGATTCTCGTAGTAAGGTTTAGACACGCCAGTGAGAATGGATATTTGACTAGACGATAGAACTGTTACCCCTGTTTCTATAATATGACATGCCAATTCCTAAGGTTTTCACCCTTAAACAATAAATTAGGCATTATCGTGGTAAAGATTGTTTCTTTTGAAAGGAACGGCGAATATTCGCCGTGTGGTGGTTCCCGGCAAAAGGAGCTTATACAAGATATATCAATACACAAGGTTACTAATAATGATATACCAAGAGAGTTAACAGTAAAAACCCTAGGTGTCTGTCTGTAAGTAAAACCAAGGGTAACAAAATACAGTTAGAACACAAATGGTATATTAAACAAACAGATAATAACAGTTATTATAGAATGAACGTTACTTGTAAGCTACCTCGTGAAAATAACAACCACAAATGAGTTCACTTGATTGATGAAGATTCCTCTGCAAGTGATTGCACCAACGGCGTATATAGAAAGACAAAGTCCAAAACTATTATATAATAATAATACGTGCCAATAGTCCAACGTAGTGTCAGAAGGCCTAAAAGGATGTTATAAAACTATTATAGTCTTCAATCAAAAACCGTGGCCAATAAAGCAGAAGAACAAACGCCGTAGATAGCGTTTTATATTTTAACCAACGCAGTAGTCGTAAATTTGTATATTAATCCTCAAAATAATTAACATCGTTTTTTTTACCAGTGATACAGAAAAACAACAGATATTGAATAAAAATGTGGTTACATATAAAGTGTGATAAATTAGAGAGAAAATGCAGTTTTTCTTTTGGCTTTACAAAAACCACTGAATACACGTCACCATATAACTCCCCCCCCCTAGGGCATGCGTCGGTGGAAGTATGCCCGACGTAGAACTCTAAATGCTTTGGAGGGAAAAGCAAATTACACAATGAAAAGAATAAACAAATGTTATCAAAAAAATTCACACGTGTCTACATATTTACGAACCAAACTGTTTCTCTTGTAGTAAAGAGAAACAAAAAAGAATTGTGCTTCTTGCTTTTAATGTATATAAAAGGTTTATTACCAATACCGGAATGTATAATAATAATCATGATAATAATAATAATAATAATAATAATAATAATAATAATAATAATAAGTGTTATTAATAATAACGGCAATTAAATTGATAGTTCATCGAAAAATGTAAATACAGTGTATAAATCGTGTAAACAATTAGTGATAAACTGAACGAGTCCAACGAAGTTGAATATCGTTACACCATTAACAATAAACCTCATACGAAACGCGTACACATTTAGAGAAGAACATAACGAATTTATCAATATCAGTAGTACACATGAAATGTGTTTTTTAAGAAAAAAATTGCTTGCAAAAAAATGTTATTAGTAATTC